AACACTAAGAGAGATATAAGCTATTAAGCATCAAGTTTGAGACTTTTTACCTCAGAAAGTTGCCAAAGACGAACGAGATCCCAGATCTAGTGCTTCTCCTCAAGCTCAATGACCTTCTAGTTTTTCCAAGTCCTTCACCAAGCAGAAGAACACACAAAAATCCACTCAAAACCTCTAGTTTCTCAACAAGGAGCTCAAAATACGATTTAGGGTTTTAAGGAGGCTGATGAGGGGCTGGTGGGAAAATTAAGTCCTTTAAATAGGGTGTAGAACCCTGGAAATTAGGGTTTTATCCCAGCTGGTATACTCGTCGAGTTGAGGCCTCTCAACTCGTCGAGTAGGTCACTTATTTACGCGGTCCTTATAATCTCTACTCGACGAGTTTTGGGCTTCCAACTCGTCGAGTTGCTCTTTTGACTTGAATAAATAATGAATTAAATACATACCAGGATCCAGACGTTACATTAATAATTAATGAGAAACTAACTGGAATTAATTTTGGATTAATTGTATTAATTAAAAGTGCAGGGGGTGTTTGGCAATTTATTGATAGTTGAGGAATTCGGCTCTAGAACCTACCTAAAAGGCTTGGACGAAAACTTCTAGGAAGGCCCTAGAATTTTCGTCCAAGGCCTCTTGGATGAGAGTTTTTGGGTTGCTTAGTCCTTAAGCTAAGGGTAATAGGGTTTCCTCCTAAAACCCTAACTTTGGCTCTAAGCTACCACACTATATAAAGGGCTTCACCCCTTCTTATTTTCGGCCACTTGATTCCTTATAGGAATAACTGAAATTTCAAGCTCCCTCCTCCTCTCTCCTCTCTCATCCTCTTGCTAAGTTTTGGGTGTGATCTACTAGAGGTGTGACATTTGTGACACTTGCTCTTAAAGTTCAAGATCTTCAAGGAATTAATTGTTATTACAATATAACAATTAAGGTGTGTATTCTAACCTTAGTTTTATGAATTTCAAAAATAGCATATACCTCCTAGGGTTTTCTTTTTAATGTTCAATAGTTGTATGTTCAATTAGAGAAAACATAGATTCATAATATTAGGGTTGCATGCACACATAGAGATTGTTTGTTATGCTCAAAACCCATCACTAACTTGCTACTTGGGTATTGAAGTATTGCACGAAAATGGTTGTGTAAAGGTGAAGCAAGAGAGTTATGCTATGAAGATTCTAAAAGAGGCAGACATGAAAGAGTGTAATGTAACTCAATGTCTGATGAAGCTGGGACTAAAGTTGTCTACAACTGAAGATGAGCCTGAAGTTGAAGCTACCCATTATTGAAAACTAGTGTGTTACTTACGATATCTCTTACACACTTGCCCAAATTTAGCATATTCGATTGGAGTAGTTAGCTGTTATATGCAAAGTCCAAGAGAATCTCATACATGCGCTATTAAGCAAATCCTTTGTTACTTGTGTGGTACTCCATCTTTTGAGATAGTATATAAACGAAGTAAAAATATGTGCTTGCTAGGTTACAGTGATAGTAGTCATAATGTAGATGGTGATGATGACAGAAGTACAACATGGCATGTTTTCTACCTTGGTGACTCGCCTATCACTTGGTGCCCCCAAAAGCAAGATACAGTAGCTTTATCCTCGTGTGAATCTGAGTTCATGGCAGCTACTAGAACTGCGTGTCAGGCAGTTTGGTTAAGGGCGTTGTTAACTGAGCTGACAGGAATAAAGAAATAGAAGGTGCTGATTCGCATAGACAACAAATCAATAATTGCATTATCAAAGAATCTTGTCTTTCATGGAAGAAGCAAACATATTCACACTCGATTCCATTTCATTTGAGAGTGTGTGGAAAACGAGCAAGTGATTATTGAACATGTTTCGGGAGACAAGCAACGTGCGGATCCACTTACGAAGGCCTTATCTCGAATAAGTTCATGGAAATAAGAGCGTTACTTGGCGTGAAAGAATTACCCTCAATTCATAATAAATTCAGGGGGTGATTATTGGCGAATACCTGAGTCCAATATAGCATTCCATGCGTGTTTGGTCCGGATCATAATTCCTTGGAGTATAGTCAAAGTAACTTGAAGTACTGTTGTCCAAGTTCTAGAGTCCTTGAGTCATAAGGAAACGTATATTATGAGAGTGTATGTTGCTATAACATAATCCTAGTTATATTCTATTATGTTTTGTTTAGTATATAATGATATAGGATCTTGTATTCAGATTCATAGATTGGAGTTACTTGTCTAGGTCTCATTGCTTATAGACCATGACAATTTCATAGAAGTGTCATCAAAGTTAGAAAAAGTTATTAAAACTATTATAAGACCAAAACAAAACATAACAGTTTAAATCGATGACATAATAAGAGCAATAAGTTTTAAACTTATTACTTGATTCCAACTCTTGATACATTCTTGAAAGTTAAATTGACTGCCAATTGAAGAGTTAACCAAATATAGGTTGCAAAACTATTTGATCATGAGATAAAGTAATTCTATTATTATTATACGCTGAAAGCCTACTAAAATTCCATGTTTTATACTTGAAAGCATACTAAAATTCCAATGATTTATACATTGAAAGCCACTTTACCCATACATAACTTAATAGAAAAAAAAGAAACATTTGCTTCCTCTAAAAAGTCATTCCTTATTATCATTTTTGATTTCTTTTCTTGACTGTTGTGGTTGCTTCTTGTAGGGGCCTTCAATTCCTATTGTCTTGGTTGAGATTTGAGAATAGTAGCGGGTGTAATAAAAATGATTGTGCAGAAGTTTAGTGGTTATTGCTATCATGTTTTGCAAGAGCAACACACTTTTATTTTGATTTTACTTTTTTTAGTGGTTACTGCTATCATGTTTTGCAAGAGCAACACACTTTTTCTACACATAAGAGCAATACACTTATATTTCTTTAACAATAATAGAATCTTGGTTACATTATTTACACATTAGCAACGTAATTATCTTCTGGTGTCGCATGTTTTAGTTCTAATAACCATTCACCGATCAAACCAAGAATTTAGTTTAAAATGTAACATTCTAAAGTTTGATTTCTTATAGTTATTCTGGGTATTTAAGGAAATAATATTTTATTTAAATTTGAGTTTTATATTTGTTATGGGATAGGTTAGGCTGCAGGCCCTTTGTGATGAGGGGTCAACAAAGCGACTCGCCGATTCGCCTATGGATCGTTGGGAACGTGGAAAGAGAGTGAAATTAGGGATGGGCATATGGACCGGGGAACTGGCCGGAACCGGTACCGGAACTGGAACCCGATGGAACCGGTCGGGCCGGGACTTGGACGATATTGTTGTGGATTTTTGGAACCGGGAACCGGTGGAACTGGCAAAAACCGGTAGAACCGGCAAAAACCGGAACCGTATGTTGCTATTTCTCGAGGACCGGTTCCGATAAGAAGTCAGTGATATTTCTCGATAGAGATGATGTGATTTGTGAGATTGTCGACATGGATATATGTCATGTTCTACTTGGAAAATCATGAAAATAAGAAGTCAGTGATATTTATAATAAACAAAAAAATATCTACATTTTCACATGGGAAGAGAAACGAATTACATTACTCGGTATCAATGCAAAAATACAAATATAAAAAACCAAAGGTCATGTCAAACAACAAATAATTATAGACAAACGCATAGAGATTGAAGAAAAAACTCTAATAATAATTGTTTTGATGAATCTCAAGTTAAAGAGATTGTAAGAAAGGATATTAAAGTCTTTGTCAAAACTTTGGAGAAGGAAAATGATTTTAGCTTGATAAAAGAATATAATATCAAAGTTGAAGATTCTAAAGAAAATAATGGTTCAAAATTTCTTTAAATGCAATATTTTTGAAACATGGATGATATTGAGAGCCCAAATAAAAAGTTAATGGTGGATAATGATGAATTTTTCAAAGTTGACAACATCAACAATATTTCAATCGAAAATGCCTACTCCAAGAACTCGAGGACAAGTTCTTTTCAAGTGAGAGATAATGATGAGGGACCAACAACACGACTCACCGATTCGTCTATGGATCGTTGGGAACATGGAAAGAGGGTGAAATTCAAGTCATATATTCTTCAATTTAAAATTATATTATATATTTTAGTTCCATAGTTTGATTTTATTATAGATTTTTGGTTTTTTATTCCAAAAAATAAATGTATTAATAACCTTATTTGTTATTTCATAGGTTACTTTTCTAATTAGGATCAATATTAATGTGTAAGTTATTTTGACCGATTTAATGTGTCGGTTATGAATCTTCTCATTTATTATCGTAACGATGTTGAGGTTCCTGGTCTCCTGTATAAGAAGACTAGATTGTAATGTTGAAGAGATCGGAATATTATAATAAAAAGTTTCTCCTGTTTTAAGTTATCTTTATTCACTTGCTAGAAAATATATAGCTTTAATCGCTTCCATATTGCATGATACACGACGGTTTGCAAAACCCATCCTGTGTCACTTTGATTTGATATGTTCGATAACTTTTTCAAACTTGTAAGTTGTAATTCTCGATAAATATCATTGCATACCATAATCCAACTTTAACAAAAGTTATATAACCATACATATACAAATATGTAGAGCTGTAAACGAACTAATGTTCAGCGAACTGTTCATGAACCGTTCGACGGAAAATTCCTTTATGTTCGTTTATTTAATAAACGAACGAACATGAATACAAATTATCGTTCGTTTAGTTAAACGAACAAACATGAACAATTGTCTCGTTCGTTGAATTATGTTCGTGAACGTTCGTTTATGTTGTTCGTTTATGTTCGTTCATATAAGTTCATTTTATGTTCTCATATATCTAATTGTGTTTGATTACATTAGTGTATTATATGTTCATTTATGTTAATATATCTTCAATTATGTTTTTTTTTATCTTTGTTCATTTATGTTTGTTTGTTTATGTTCATTTAGCATGTTCACGAACATAAACGAACGAACATGAACAATGTAATTTGTTAAACGAACGATCATGAACAAGAAAACTCGTTTGTTTATCCGTTCGTGTTCATTTATTTGTTCGGATAACTTAAATGAACGAAAATGAACAAACCCCGTTCGTGTTCGTTCGGTTCGTTTACAGCCCTACAAATATGGTTACAATCATTTATTGCTCAAACTCCATTGGCTCTATAACGTCAAATATGGTTACAATCATTTATTGCTCAAACTCCATTGGCTCTATAACGTCCACATTAATTGCTTCCATCTGCTTTTTCCTTCACTGCCACTAAAATCTTGGCTGCTTCAAGCCTCAAACTAACTGCTTCCCAAGACACAAGCTTATCCAGGAACACCGATACATAATCAGGCCTACGGTTCTGTAAATAAAATAGATTCAATTTCGCTAATCAACCTTTCATATGTCATCTGATTAAGCGGCTAAAAGGGACAAGTTTACCTGAAAATCGAGGTAGTATGCATGCTACAAGTAACAAGTAACAACATATTAGATTAAAAATGAATGTGTCATAAAGATAGTTTTATTTATTTATGGGATAATGACGTGCAATCGGTCATTATTGTTTTAATTTAATTTTACACAATAGATCATTCAACTCGATATTTCTTTATACAAAAACAAAATAATGATGCTTATTATGAAAATATTGAGTTTAAAGACCCATTGTGTAAAATCAAAATAAAATGGGCATGGCTAAAAGGGTATAAAGAGGGTGAAACATGAAGGAGAATTATATCGTGTCTCTGCTCTAAATAACTTGTTATAAGATCCATGTATTACACAAGTTTTTAAAAAATTAAATATGAAGATCTAAATATTTAAGAGTTTGAATTTATAAGAAAAATGATAAAAATATTGAATTATTGAAATTTAAATGCCCTATTCTTTTTTAAATAAAAAAAATAGTTTAAATAAACAAACGAAGGAAAAAAATTGAGTTTTAATTTTGAAAATTTGAAAGTAGAAGGAAAATTGTATTAATGAAATTGGTATACATTCATTATTATATTTATTACAATTATTACATTTAAATACTACGTAGAATTTAATAAAATAGAAAATAAAAACATAAAAGAACATGTGAAAAAATTTTAATTAAAAATAACCACAAAGAGACATATGACAAAATGAATAAGAGTGTGACATGTGGCAAAAAAAATTTATTTATTAGAGTACATAATAAAATGCTATTTTTTTAAATGGTGGATCCATATGTGAATACAAATAGACCCGACAATTTTATACACGACACAAATGTTTTGTGTATATGTTTTAGAAATTCATGTTGCCTATTTATTCGTGTTGACATGTATTTCGATTTTTCTTTTTCCCTTTCTCTTTCTATTTATTGAATTTCCTCTTCAATTCTCTCCAATTGATTAAGTTAATTAACTTTTAATGAAATGTTTTGATTTTAATTATATTTGTTAATAATTTTATGTGCAAGTTAATATTGTTTTTATTTCTATTTAATTATATTGATGTTTTTAAACATAACTTATATTTATATTTATATTAATTTATTTATAATTTATAAAACTGTTATTGCTCAGTTCCTAAAATAAAGATTGGTTTTCAATAAATTTAGCAAAAACATTGTTTATATTCATTTATATTTTAAATGCTTAATGAACAATCAAATAGCTAGTTTGCTTGTTTTAATTGCACACAATAGACCTGGCCTTGGCCTTTAACTTTTTTGTAAAAAGAAGATGACTATTATGGGGTTAAGCAATAATAGTGTTTTTTATATTGTAAATATTAAGTTTTAGGGATCTATTGATTTCAACTGAAATGACAAACGGCAATGACGAATTGTGTATATGGGGCATAAATTTCATTTCTTTATAATGAAAGGGAAATATGAAAATATGTGTTAGTTTGTTACCTCCCAAACATCAATGGTGAGGAGAGGCTACAAAATAGAAGAAAAAGAAACCAATTTATACTTAGTTAGTCCATGCACGGTTAAAAAAACAATAAAAATGTTATAATTATTATCTTTAGTTTTTAACTCACATGGTAGTCCAAAACAAGAGGATTAATTGCATTTGGGCTATTCACGACAACAAGCTTCTTCTCCTCCTCTTTGTCTAGAAAGAAACACAAGGGTAGAAATGTCAAAACTCATCAAAACATTAATGGGTGCATTTTATTTTATTTCAAACTTTTTAGCTTTAACCCAACAAACACTTACATACAAGCCAAGCCCAACCAGAACCGAACTGAGTAGTGGCAGCTGATTTCAACTCACTGATTAGGCTCTCAAACGAACCAAAATCTGTGTTTATCAATTCCAAAAGTTCTCCTGAAGGCTTTCCACCTCCATTAGGCTTCATAGACTCCCAGAAAAATTCATGGTTCCATATCTGAAGAGTTTGAACAATTAATGGATTTACATTAAAAAATCTGACACCACTGAAAGTAAGTTTAAAAAAATCAACAAATGGCATGTTGGCATACCTGTGCTGCATTGTTGAAGGTTGGAAGAATATCACCTTTGTTGTATGAAGTCAAAATTATGCTTTCTAATGTCATTTTATTTAGTTCAGTTCCTTCTATTTGCTTGTTTAGGTTGTTCACATAAGATCTGTGGTGCTTTCCCCAATGATACTCTAAAGTCTCTTTGCTCATATGTGGCTCAAGGGCATCCTACCACAGATGTATCATCATGTAACACAGGAAGTATATATATATATATATATATATATATATATATATATATATATATATATATATATATATATTACAGAGATAAACACGTACATCATGCAAATAACGACGTATGGTAATATATATAGGCAGGCAGGCGTACATACGTACCAGTGCAAAAGGAAGAGGCTTCAGATCCATGTTGTCTGATATCGTCAGATGAACAGATCAACGTCTCTGTAACATAAATATTGTAGTTTTTCTTCAAACAGTTAGAAGATGAAGAAGATAACACTTAACAGAAAACTTGCATCTTTATTTGGAGCCAAACCACGTTGGGACACGTGTAAACACAAGTAATAAGTATCTGAAAGAGGTTACGTACTAGGGTTTTATCTGGATAATCCTTATGAAATCACAAATAAACCAGATAAAAATGACTATACTGACAGAGATATTTCGTCCAAACCCATGGTTACTTCCCCAGAAACCCAAGAAATTGTATCCATGTTCAATCGTTTGCAGTTAGAATAATGAATTTGGAAGAAACAGTCGAAGTCGAACAGAGACAACTTACTTGCTCCTGTGTGGCCTTTGTAAAAGCTCCGTGACAATCCACCAAATTCTACAATTAAATGGAATCTTAATATGATATATAGATGAGAAGATGTTGAAAATGTCTCGAATGGGGGGTTGGTTAAGTTTTGTACTACAATTAGTACAGTCTAACTAGTACTATCAAAAAGCTTGTACTGATCTATATATTTATCAAATTTACGTGTGTGGGCCCACATATGAGTGTGAAATGTGAATGGTCTTGTAAAATTGGTTATTGAATGTGAATTTATATCCAAAAAAATAGTAAATAAATATATTTTTAAGGTGGGTGTAAATTGGAATCTGATACTACTTAAAGATACTACTTAAAGGTAACTATCTGGCTCATAACGTATGAGCCATACAAATGGAGAGAGAAAGGGATAGGAAGACGAACCATCATAAGGAGGATCCAAGACCAAGACCAACAGTACGTGGCCGGAAGGAAAAGGAGGGCTAACAACTTGACAACCGTCATGTTCTTCATTCGTAACTTCCTGCATGATTGTGGAAAAACTATACTTTGTGGGAAGCATGTCTTAAAGTGGGACACATTATTGAACAAGGAAGAAGGTTTGCCTTGGTTCGCTTCGGGAAGATGCATGACATTGAAAAACTTTCAAGTCGATTAAACATTTTCATGGCGCTTCCATAATCACAATTCGAAAATCCAAGTAATATATCTCTACCTTCACAAAACATATGGGGTGGTAATGATTTGGATTGTGAAATTGATAGAACCGAATTCGAGGTGGTTAACCTCCAGGAACAAAAGAAAGAAACAACTATTGGAGCAATTTTCTGAATAGTCATTAAACCAAAAAGTACAATACTTAAATACTAGCTAAAGGAATGAAAAAGTGCAGCTAACTGACTACGTGGGTTACTTCTGAAAGTGGAACCCAATTATTTAGGAACATATGCAGAAAACAAGAGAATTAGAAGTATTCACTGCTAACTGTTTTGACTTGGTAAAGTCACATGCTTATTCAAGGAATCGTGCAGGTCTTTTGATGACTCGTTTGGGTCTGGTTGAAGTTTCAGCTTGGGGTCTTTGGGCTCCTTCAAGGTTTGGTAATTGTTGGGCTGTAACAACTCCTTCCCTCTCGAGATTGGACTCGTCCACGAGTCCGGTATTGAAATCAGGGAATCGTAGTGTGATGTCTTGTTTGTCTTCCTGTTAACATGCTGTCGCGCACGTATTAAACAAATAAATTTATCACTGCTGGTTGCACTAAAAATATAGCACAGGGAAGCAGGGTCGGATCCTCAGGAACACAGCCTAAAAGTCAATGCCTTTTTGCATCAGGCACATCTAGTCAAGAAACAGAGTATAAAAGGGGGGTTTTTTTTATTAAAACTAATAACTAGAAATGCAGTGATAATAAAGTAAACGAAAATCAATAATAAAAATGGTTTCAGCTCTGCTGTGACTTTCCTAATCATGCAACTGATCCAGATCTGATTATTTGAGATGCGTTCTATCTAAGCTGGTACTGAGAAAAACTAACAAGCTCTAGTAATTTCTCTTTTACCTTATTTAGTTAACCAAAACAAGCTCTTCAATTAACCCTAACTTTTTACTGTCTAATCAAACAAGCTCTTAATTAAGATCAGAAAAGTTGCATTAAGTTCTTTGTAAAATTCCCAGCAATACCCAATACTTCTCACAAGCTCGGAAGCGTAAAGATATGATTTTTCAGTTTATAATAAAGTCAAATCCCAAACACGGAACCGATTTATTACTTGTTACTTTTACCAATTTATTAGAACAATTACGGATTCTATAACTGATTAACTGGAATGATAAAACCCTAGCTAGGTGATCAAACTAACAAGAATCAAAATCAAACATTCATTAAGAACAAAACTGAAGGATCTAGATAGAAACACAAATCAAAAACCAGATCTAATGATCAATCACATGAAAAGTAATTGTCTTTGCAGAACTGAAAACTAGGGTTTAGCCAGACATGGCTAAAATCTGATCTAAAACAATAAAAAGAAACATTAAACTACTAAATCTTACTAAACTAAACGTAGGAGATGATCCACAGTCTTCAGATCTTCAGAAATTGATGAAATCGGAGAAGAAACACCTCCAAAATCGTATTTTCGTCGTCTGGAACCTCTGGAATCGCCAACTTAGGTTACAGGAATGCTATCAGGGTCTATTTATACGTCCAACAGCAAAAACGGCGCACCTGCGATCGCATGTATACAACCTGCGATCGCAGGTTTTGAAATAAACGCGTCTGGTGCCTTTTTAATGAAGTAGGATGCTATTTTGACACTTTTTGGCCAACCTGCGATCGCATATACACAGCCTGCGATCGCAGGTATTGAGTTTTCACTCCCGGATGAATTTTGGGCACAAAAGAACCTCGAAGGCAACCTGCGATCGCAAAAAGGGTCACCTGCGATCGCAAGGAGACAACCTGCGATCGCAGGTTGTGCCTATGACGTCCGAAATTTTGTCTACTTTTCAGATCATTTTGAATCGCGTCAATCGGAGTTACGATTCTCGAGATATGGTCAAAATACTGACAGGGGGTCAAAGCTGCCAGTAACATCCTTTAACTTTCGATTGCATATTCTATCTTTGTGTGATCAATTCAATTGAATGTTTCTTGACCAAAGCATCTTCCAAACATTCCTCATAATCCTTCATAAGTCCCAAGCTTCATTTTAAGCTCCAAACGCGCATCCAACTACTCCCAAAGCACTGCTCCACTCGAACTATCTGAAATTGACATAAAAACATGAGCAGTACGGGAATTCTAACGAAAGACATGAGCTGAACATTGTTTAAATAAATGACATGCAAATGTACAAAATATGATGCTATAATGATGATAAAAACTACTCTATAAGATGCATAAAATGGCATCTAACAAATCTCCCCAAGCTTAAACCTTACTTGCCATCAAGTAAGAAAAAGATAAAACATTATAAACAAATGGAATAATGTAGATAACCAAAAAAAAAAACTTAGAATTAAAACTAAAACAAGATTAAGGAAACTAAAAATTTAAACTTTATCAAAAACACTTCACTATTTTTTTGTTCATATGATTAGATTTCACAACGAGGAAGCTCCAATGAAATCACTACCTAGATAACAGTCTCAATTCTTTATATTAACGATTCAGATTTCATATAATAAGTTAAACCAAGCTTGAGCAAATAATTTTTACGCCGAATTAAATTTGTGAAAACAGTGTATTTTTAAAAATAATTTCACGAAAATTCGTTTCTAAAAACATAGCTTGACCAACCCCTCCTTTTTTTCTGAACTCGTCCAGTAAACGCGGTAAGCTCCATTATGGACAGAAAATCCAAGCTTACCCCTATGATTCCACTATCGAAGGATCAATCTCATTATACCACACATCTTCTTCGTCTTGATCAACTCTTCATATGTAACTTGCTTGCTTCTTGATTTTAACTTGAACTTGACTTTGATTTGACTTTGAATTGCAGATTTCTTCAAGTTGCTTGATATATCATTTCTAACATATATATATTGACTGAGCACGGATTTTACTTTGAGGCCCACCACATCTTCAATACTTCAAAAATGATAACTATTTTGTGGGTATAACGAGAGTTCCCTCCCAACCTCAAAGGCGCAGAAACTATAGGGTTCAGTACTTCAAGGAATGATAAGGATTATCCAATCTAGGTTTTCTTTTTAAGGCATCTAAGGAAATTATTTTCAAAACACTGTTCGTTTTTCCATCCCACACTTCCATTGTAAAAATTATCCGACTCTTATGTTGGTTCATATTGAAAACATTTAAAGCACTTGAAAAGATAATTCTTAAAATTGATTGTAATGAGACCATTATTTTCGGTAACTATCACACTTCATCTTAACAGAGCTATCAAATGTAAAAAGAATCCTCATCTCATGTAAAATATAAAATTTTTATTTTTTAATGATTTTTTTTAAAATTTTTATATGCAGAAAATAAAAATAAAAATAACTAGAAATAAAATATTTTTGGGTTTTCTTTGTTTTTTTAATGCAGAAAAATAAAAATGAAAATATAATATTTTTTGGATTTTTCAAAATTTTGAATTTTTTATATGCAAATGCAATGCAGAAAATAAAATACAAAAAGAAAATTTTGAAAAATTTAACTAAAAAAAACTGAAAAATTAAAATTTTAAATAAAAATGCAAAATGTTACACTAATCTGATTTCCCCAAGCTTGCTTGGAACTGCGACCATCTCTTTATTGATAGCATAAAAAGTAAAAACTACTCATCGGGTTGCCTCCCGGAAAGCCGCCCATTTTTAAAGTCGTTGGCTCGACTTTGCCTAACCAGATTATCTAACTGGTGTAGTTGGGACTTCTCTGAAGCTCAACTCTTTTTCTTGTGACTCCAGATCCCTTTAAATATGGAAAGATTGGTGGATCTGGAACTTGTTCAACAGCATGGAAAAACTCGAGATTGTCTTCAGATATATTTTTCAAATTATTTTCAAACTTCTTCCGTTTTCTGATCTTCTTCTTTTTCTTCCCAAAATTATTGTTTTCAGATTCCTTTCTTTTCAAATTTATATCAGAAATCACATTTCCCTCTTTTTCTTCCAAAAGTTTGTTTCTTTTTAACCCCGTCTCAGCCCCTTCAGATAACTTCTTTTCAGGTTTATCAGCTTCTACGAATTCCTTTTCAACAACCAAGATCCCTCCTTTGTTTTCCCCAAGCTTATCTGTAGCCAGCTCCCCTGATGTGTATGGTAAATTCATGTCTGCGAATTTTTCTTGCACAAAGACATTAGAAAACTCACAGCAGCCCTCTAATAAAGGACTGCTGGTACCCATATAATTGACAGAAATACTTTCAGAAGGAAAATCATCATTATTAATTTGAAATTTAACCACTTCCTCATCAAACTCCATTGAAATCATTCCATTAAAAACATCAATTTTTGTTTTTGCAGTTTTCATAAAGGCCTTCCCAAAATAATAGAGTTTGAATCTGAAGTGTCCAAGTTCCCCATGTCCAAAATGTAAAAATCAGCGGGAAAAATCAGATTATCCACTTGGACAAGAACATCCTCCAGTGCACCTTTTGGGTGTACTGTCGAGTGGTCAGC